AAGGTAGTGTTCAGGCAGGCAGTAGGTGGCTAAGAGGCAGTCTAGGGAGCAGGCATCCAGGCTGGGGGCGGGGCATGGAGAGCAGTACTGCTGTGGCTCAGACTCTAGCCTATCACTTGTCTTTCCTAAAACTGCAGCTTTTTTTTTCAGAACAGACCCCAGAGCTCAGCAACCTGACCCGCTTTGCCTCTGGGCAGGTGGTTTGCATTAGCTGCAGCCTCAGTAGGAAACCAGGACTTAGGTTTTAACTCTTTAAGATCCAGAGGGAGTGCAGGACAGGTGGCTGTGCTTGAGTGCCGCTTTTTCCTTGTGCTGATACCTCCCCCCTTCCCTGCAAACAGAATTGGTCCTGATGTAGGAGAGATGCATTTTGTCAGCTTGGGAAATGTAAGGAGGATACAGGACCTTAAGTTTACAAGGCAGCAGCTGCTTTTTTGGAGCAGGGTAAAGAGAGGGTTATCTTGCCAGCTCTATGAAGACTGTGTTGTGGATTCTGGGTGCATCTTTCCCCCCTTCCCCCAGAACTAGGTAGGTGGGGGACTCTGAAGATACCTTCAGGGTTGATTTGGTTGATTTACATTCTGGGAAGTTCAGTTTTCTGTTTATTGATTGGGCACTTGAGAGAGGTGCCTGATTCAATTGGAGTGAATCTCAGCAGATCCTCCTATAAAATGATTCCAGGCTGCAATCCCAGGGATCTGTTTTTCCATTACCATCACCCAGTCTTCTGGGTGGGGCCTGCCTCAGATTTCAGGGGGAGGTGGGGAGGATGGTGCTCTGGCTCGGAGCCCTTGGGTTCCAAGCCAATGCATGCTTAAAGCTGTAGTTCTAGTAAAGCTCAGTAGAGCACTAGCTGTGCCACTGACTTTAGTCATTGTCACCCAGAATGGCCATCAGTACCAGTGAATGGCAGTACTGTGCTCCTCACCCTGGTGTCCTGTCTGAGGAAGTGGCCCTTTGTGACAAAGTCCATAGGGAGTTTCTCAAGTTGAGTGTTGGATGCCTTCTATTTCTGTGCCCAGGGAGTATGAAAAAAGGCATTTGGCCTTGATATGAAGTTTTCTTGAGTAATGGAACTAGTTCTAAACAGGCTCTCCTGGGAGGATGGAAAGGTGGTACATTCTGTATCTCAGATGAAGAGAAGAGGTTGGTTAAACCTCAGGTCTTTTTTTTTTTTTTTTTTTTGCGGTACCTGGGCTTGAACTCAGGACCCTGCACTTGCCAGGTAAGTGCTAATTCTACTGAGCCGTCTCTCCAGGCCCTCAGGACATTTTTAGCAGCACAGCTGTGGAATCTCTGAGGGGGCAAGACCTACCTTTGGTTGCACTTTTTTCCTTCTCCCTGGGGATGGTGGTAGTACATGTAATCCTTACTACTTGGAAGGCTGAGGCAAGAGGATCATAATTTGGAACTCAGCCTGGCAACTTATTGAGACCCTTCTCAAAATAAAAAAAAGGGCTGGAACACAGCCCCGTACTCCTTGGAGTGTATCCATAGTATAACAAGAGAGAAAGGCATTTTGGAGGGGGTGGTGGAGGAAACAAACCCAGGGACTCATGCATGCTAGGCAAGTACCTGACCACCGAGCCACCTCCCACCCCCAAGTTTCTGATTGAAATGTTGGTTCTCATCAAAGGCCTACAAGTCTGCTGTCAGCACTGAGGATTGGCAGCAGGGAGGATGAGACTATGGGAGGTAGTATGGGCTATACTTTTTTTTTTTTTTTTTGGAGGCTCAGGATGCCTTCAGGGCAGGTCTGGTTTGGCTTGAGGATGAGGGGATCAAACCACAACATCCTGAGCCTGACTGCTTTCTTTCAGCATGCACTTAAACACCAGAGCTAATGGGCAGGCCCCCTCCCCCCCACTTTCCTTGCTATTGAAGAGCTCCAAAGACAGTTTTTAAAAAAAAAGCTCCAGTTGAACATTTGGAAGTTGCCTCCTTTACCCAGCTTTAGGCTGGCCAGGCAGCATAGTCTTTATTTTGGTGCAGTAGTTCAGGTCATGTGCCTCTGTCCTGGCCTGGCCCCAAGGGTTAGGCAGGCAGTACCAAAAGCCCCTCCTTGGGAAAATCTTTAAAGACTGAGGAATATGAGGGCTCTTAAATTTTTTTTTTTTTAAATCTTTCATTTATGTATCTCTTTATTTATGTATTTGGTACAAGATCTCACTATGCAGCTTGGACTGAGTGAGCCTCCTGTCTCAGCCTCCCCGGTTCTGGGATTACAGGCATGTGCCACCACACCCAGTTTCAGCAGTTCTCACAGTGCACCCAGGGTTTCCCAGGCCCACTTAACATGTATTAGGGATTAAACCCTGGGCCTTGTGCTTGCCAGGCACTTAGACCAAGTGAGTTGTCTGAAAGAGGGATCTCCCCAGCCCCATGTGGGCCCTTAGCTTGTCTGCCCTCCTGCCGTCTCCTTTAACCCTTCCACTTGCTCCTGTCAAAGCTCAAGCGAATTGGCTCATTTCCAAAATTGTGACGTTGGTAACAATAGCAAGTAGAATCATGTTGGGTTTTGCAGGGTCAGGAATCATTTCATTGTAATTAGCATCCAGTTACAGTTAACATTTAAGTATTTTCTTATATTAAGGATTCACAAATATTTACCCCTTCACCCTGCTGTAAGCCCCTCTGAGGCAGGGGCCACATATTCATCTCTGATTTTTTTTTTTTTTTTTTTAAAGTACACGGGCTGCTGAAGTTTTATTTTTTTTAATTATTTATTTATTTTTATTACATTTATTTATTGTGTGTGTGTGTGGCCAGCTCAGCCCACCAGGGGGCAGGGCTGACTGGCATGTGGTGCTGGGGGATTGAACCGTGGTCCCTGTGTTTTGCCAAGCTTGTTTCAAGTAGGTGCTTTAGACCACTGAGCCATCTCTCCAGCCCTCATCTCTGATTTTTTCACATATCTTCCAGCACAGAATGAATACATCAGGGACTAAGAAAATAACTTTGTGGTTGGTTGATAAGCAGAACACATTTAATAGGAAGTAAAAAGAGATGAAGGAAAATGAATTATCAGATTAATGTATCTCTTTCCCCTACTTGACAGTGAGCACCTTAAGGGAAAAATGGTGTTTTTATTTCCAGCATTTTGCATATAGCAGGCACTAAGTGACTGTTGGTTCCACATAACCTGCATTATGGAAATGATACTGTGTGGTGAGTTTTACAGGTGATGTGGCTCTTAGCACTCCTGTTACTCTTTCTTCCCGAATAGTTATAGGCTGGGCACCTGTGGCCAGTAGTACAGAGTGATATGCTGTGGAGATTTGTGGGAGTTACAGAGGATATTAGGTGTTGGGGAATATTTTACTCATCAAGTCTGTAATCCCATGGGTAGGTTGGCAGACAGATGGCGTATTCCCAATGCAAAGGAAATTGAGGGTAAGAATACTAGGACAAATACCTAATTATTCATTAAATGTCCCCCTGGAATCTCCTCCAGAATTAACCTTGGTGTCATCCAGAGATCTTGGTTTGGGTTTTACATTTCTGTAGAAGATATAAACATTCAAAAGCTGGAGCATTTTCCCCCAAGGACTTAGTGGGGTTTTTTGCTTGTTTTGTTTTTGTTTTTTTGAGGCAGCGTCTCATCATGTACCTCAGAGTGGCCTTGAGCTTACTATATGGACCAGGCAGGCCTTGAACTCATGGCAGTCCTCCTGGCCTCAGCCGCAGGAGTGCTGCGTTTATAGGCATATGCTGCTATGTCTGGCAAGGACTTGGTTATTAAATTAGTTAGAATTTAGGTACTAGCATGAAAAGCTAGAAATCAGTCTTTCTACTCGAGAGGAGTAACTGCCATATGCCAGGCACTGGGCCATGTGGTTTATCTTTTGTATCTCAG